TAAAATAGTTGATTTACCAGCAGCATCTAAACCTACAAATAATATAAAATAGTTGGTATTGTTGTTACAACTTCTCCTAATTTTAATGTATATAAAATAGTTGATTTACCAGCAGCATCTAAACCTACAAATAATATAAAATAGTTGGTATTGTTGTTACAACTTCTCCTAATTTTAATGTATATAAAATAGTTGATTTACCAGCAGCATCTAAACCTACAAATAATATAAAATAGTTGGTATTGTTGTTACAACTTCTCCTAATTTCAATGTATATAAAAAAGTTGATTTACCAGCAGCATCTAAACCTACAAATAATATAAAATAGTTGATTTACCAGCAGCATCTAAACCTACAAATAATATAAAATAGTTGTTATAGTTGTAACAACTTCTCCTAATTTCAATGTATATAAAATAGTTGATTTACCAGCAGCATCTAAGCCTACAAATAATATAAAATAGTTGGTATTGTTGTTACAACTTCTCCTAATTTCAATGTATATAAAATAGTTGATTTACCAGCAGCATCTAAACCTACAAATAATATAAAATAGTTGTTATAGTTGTAACAACTTCTCCTAATTTCAATGTATATAAAATAGTTGATTTACCAGCAGCATCTAAACCTACAAATAATATAAAATAGTTGGTATTGTTGTTACAACTTCTCCTAATTTTAATGTATATAAAATAGTTGTTTTACCAGCAGCATCTAAACCTACAAATAATATAAAATAGTTGATTTACCAGAAGCATCTAAACCTCCAAATAACATAAAATAGTTGGTATTGTTGTTACAACTTCTCCTAATTTTAATGTATATAAAATAGTTGATTTACCAGCAGCATCTAAACCTACAAATAATATAAAATAGTTGTTTTATCAGCAGCATCTAAACCTACAAATAATATAAAATAGTTGATTTACCAGCAGCATCTAAACCTACAAATAATATAAAATATAGTTTATTTACCAGCAAATAGTTGTTTTATCAGCAGCATCTAAACCTACAAATAATATACAATAGTTGATTTACCAGCAGCATCTAAACCTACAAATAATATAAAATAGTTGGTATTGTTGTTACAACTTCTCCTAATTTTAATTTATATAAAATAGTTGATTTACCAGCAGCATCTAAACCTACAAATAATATAAAATAGTTGTTATAGTTGTAACAACTTCTCCTAATTTCAATGTATATAAAATAGTTGATTTACCAGCAGCATCTAAACCTACAAATAATATAAAATAGTTGGTATTGTTGTTACAACTTCTCCTAATTTTAATGTATATAAAATAGTTAATTTACCAGCAGCATCTAAACCTACAAATAATATAAAATAGTTGATTTACCAGCAGCATCTAAACCTACAAATAATATAAAATAGTTGGTATTGTTGTTACAACTTCTCCTAATTTTAATGTATATAAAATAGTTGATTTACCAGCAGCATCTAAACCTACAAATAATATAAAATAGTTGGTATTGTTGTTACAACTTCTCCTAATTTTAATGTATATAAAATAGTTGATTTACCAGCAGCATCTAAACCTACAAATAATATAAAATAGTTGGTATTGT